AAAGAATGTTCAGGATTTATTTTGGAACTAAACCCACTGAAACTTTGCTGTGGAGGAATCAGAAGTAACTCTAAGTTTTTAGGCATGGAGTAACTGGGTGGATGGTAGTGCCACTTACCGAAATAAAGAGTGCATATTACAATAATCTCAAAATTGACTGTCAGGAAACCTGATGCACTTGGAGGCAGCCACTGTTACCTCTTTGTCATTTAGAAAACCTTCTTGTAGCTGTTGTTTTTGAGTATACGCTGATGGCTGCCATCATAAAAATGCTTCCTTTATTTTCATCTTCCTGCTTTTTTATCTTAACAATTTTTACATTTATTCTCTCCAGCAACTTTTCTTCTCCTAGCTATCAAAAGCATCTGTTCTGTATTCCTGTGTACACTTACTTGCCTGTTTCTCCCATAATTTTGTCAGCTATTTAGTGGACTTTGCTAATAAGACAAAGACAGATTAGAACAAGATCACCTCATTGTACTCTACAAGTTAAATCATTCACGTTACCATCTTTTGAAGGTGCCCATGCAATCTGCCGGAGTAGCTGTACTCTGCAACCCTGGTTTAGATATGTAAGGAATGAGTTAAACTAGATTTTAGGAGAACTGGACAATGTAAGGAGCTCTAGAGGTGAAGTTGTTAAGGCATTCAAGTACTAAGCAAAAGGTCAGTGATTCAGACCCACCAGCCACTCTGTAGGAGAAAAACAAGGCATTCTGCTTCCATAAAGATTTACAACCTTGGAAACCCTGTGGGGGAAGTTCTATTCTGTTCCATAGGGTCACTATGAATTTTGATGTGTGAAGTTGAGCACTCATGGTGTGGGAATGACTGGGAATAGACACAGAAAGAAAGACATAAAAAATGGATATGCTACTAGTGTACACTTTGGATAAGACTGTTTATTCACCTGATTTTGCTACCCATTCCCAATGAGTACACCAATATGTTTGTGTCTAGGCTTAGATAACCTTCCAATACAGACTATTAAGTATTTGTGAAGTTTCATAATTGGCCAAATAAGTTATTTGGGTGGGATTGTGATATGATAAATATTTCCCAGAAATCTATGAGTAACACTCCCAAAATTCATCCTTAGAGTTAGGAGCTAAGGACCAACCAACTCTGTAGCCTAGAGATAACTACTTTAATCCAGACACCAAAGGAGAACAGTATTCTTAGAGAAACTACTCTTCCCCTGCCCATTAGAAACCTTATCAGTAGTGTCAGAATTTTAAAACAACAAGAAAAATCCCTTATAAAAACAAACAATTGTTGGATCAAAGCCAGTATCTCCCCACTGTTGGGGGCATAGTCCTCTGTTTAGGAAAATAGTTCTCCCCTGTATATGTGCTGCAGAACCATTTTTTAATGCAAATTTACATTCTGTGTAATAGAGAATATTCTGTGACGTGGCCTAAGCATTGGGGTTTTTTGTTTTGTTTTGTTTTGTTTGATGTTACGCTCATGTTTCTTAGCCAAACTCCTCCAAGAACCACTGGGTTAGAGTATCTTCGGAAGGATTAAACTAGAGATGAGTTGTCTTCTATATAAATGGAGGAGGCATTCAAGTCATTTTTAATTTTCTTTTCCTTACCTTCCACATCCATTTAATCACCAAGACCTGCGCTTCTTCCTCTCCAGCATCTGCACAAGAGGTCTGCTACCATCCCTTCTCTCAGTGACTGTCCCTCTTAAACCTCCCTCATTTTTCTGTCCTGTGGGCTGTTGTAATTGTCCTCAGTTAGGGTTCTGCCTCCAAACTCATCTCCACAGTTAATATTTCAGTTTACCACTAGAGTTAATTTCTGTTTCCTCAGAGTCACTGGCTTTCATTATCTGCATAATCAGTCCCTAACCCCCTTCTAGACTCTCAAGCCCGCAGCAGTTTAGCTACAGCCTGACTCCGTCCATCCTCCTCGTTTTTCATGTACTCTGTACAGAATATATGTGCCTTATTATTTATACTTCCCATACTCCTTGACTTTGCTCATCATGTTCTGTATTTCTAGAGTGCCATTCTTGCTTATCAAAACCTGACTTATTCTACAAATGGTCTCACCTCCTTCATGAAGTTTTTCTAGGTCATTTATCTCCATAATTCCTCCAAGTCAGAATTAATTATTCTGTTTTCTACACTCTGTTAACTTTATTTTTCCATTCCAGTTACAGATTTTCTTTCTTCTTACTTAATTAACTACGTGATCAGAAGTTCTTAGTGATGTGGCATCCCCGGACAGTAACAGGCACAGCATTTGTTAACAAATAAGTGCATAAGATTATCTTTGCCAGTCTAGAGCAACAAAAGTTTGTCATCTACTGTTGAATAA